TGAGGCAGTCCCAGGGCCAAGAAGGTCAGAAACGTTGCACAGGCACCTGCAGGGAAATAACTCGGCGGGTCGTCGAGTGGAGATAAATTGACTAAATATATTTTTGCGTAGTCGCAGGAATCTGCGTCTGAGAGCAGAGTGATGGCTCCGTCTACACCCACCGTGCACATGGGGCCCAGGCTCAAGGCGGCCGGCGGCCGCGGCCGCGGCGGCGGCGGTGGCAGGCTGCTGCCAGTAGAGGGCAGCGGCGGCGGCGGCGGCGGAGGTCGCCATGCCCCCGTAGCCCGAGGCGGCCGCGGCGGCCGCGGCGGCGTTCATGTAGCTCTGGGCCCCTGGTGGCATCATGGGGCTGTACTGCAGGCCTGCCATGTCGTAGCGGTGCATCTGAGGCAACGCGGGCGGCGGCGGGCTGCTCATGGTGGCCGGCTGCGCGTAGCCCAGCTGCTCCTGCACCAGCGAGTACGCGCCGTTGGCCCATCCGTTCACGTGTGTGTACGTGTCCAGGCGCTGGCCCACGCCCACCGGGCTGCTGGCGGCGGCCGCCGCGGCGGCGGCAGCGGCGGCGGCGGCGGCGGCGCCGGGGGGCAGGAGGCCACCCGGCAAGGAGTACTTGTCCTTCTTGAGCAAAGTCTTGGTCTTGCGGCGCGGCCGGTACTTATAGTCCGGGTACTCTTTCATGTGCACAGCGCGCAGTCGCTTGGCCTCGTCGATGAACGGCCGCTTCTCGGCGTCGGTCAGCAGTTTCCAGTCGGCGCCCAAGCGCTTGCTGATCTCAGAGTTGTGCATCTTGGGGTTCTCCAAGGCCATCTTGCGCCGCTGCCCGCGGGACCACACCATGAAGGCGTTCATGGGCCTTTTCACGCGGTCCTGATCGCTGCCCCCGCCACCGCCGCTCGCGCCGCCACCGCTGCCTCCGCCTGCGTTCGCGCCGCTGGCTGTGTTCGAGCTACTCTTGCCTGCGCCGCCTGGGGCTGTGGGGCCACCAGCTCCTGTCCCTGGAGTGGATGGCCCCACGGGGTTCTTGAGTTCAGTCTCCAGCAGGCTGTACATGGCCGGAGCGGGAAGAAGGTGCGCCAGAGTGGCGGGAGGAGAAGGCGCTCCCGGGGCTGGAGCGGCCACGGTGAAAAGGCCTGGGGGCTCCGTCGGAGGGGCACTTGGGGGCCGGTGGGCCAGCGGGTCGGGAGGGAAGGATAGGCTTGCTGAAGCGCTCCGCGCCAGGTCTACAGGAACCCGCAGGCCACTCTCACCTGATGCTTTGCCAGGAGCCGGTCGCATTCGCTGTCTGGCCCGGCACTCGCCAGGCCCCTTATATACCTGCTCCGATTCCCCTAGGGTTGGGCTCGGTCCGCCCCTCGCCTGCGGGAGCCCCCATGATTGACAGGTTTGCAGTGATGCACTCTGGCCAATCACCACGGAGCCCCCGATCGTCCCCCACAGGAAAAAAAGTTCGGGGAGCCCTTTCGTTCACCTCCACGCCCCTCTTGGGCCCGGTGACGTGATGAGAGTTATTCTGGAGGCGGGAGTCTCGGAGAGCCACTCAGAGACCACCAATTAGGGTCTCAAAAAGTTTGAAAGAACGAAACTCTAGGAGGTGACAGAGGGGGAGGGGACGCACGAGCAGGATTGGGGGGAGAGGGGGCAAAAGGGCGCCCATGGGGTGCAATCAACAACTTTGCAGCCCTATCCGGGACCACCGGTGCCCGGGGCCACCTTGCAAAGCTTTGCGCGGTCTGCGCAAAGGTCCTCAAACCGCTTCTGCTGCCAGCGCTTGGACACTGGGCATCGCCAACATCCTGGCGGGCTTGGGGCTCAGGGTGCAAGCGAGCTACGCTGGGCTGTGGCTCCGAGAAGCCCTCGCTGGAATTAGCCCCTGTCCAAGCGGACAGAGCAGGGGTCGGGGACCCGAGCGCGGGAGACAAGCTTCGGGACGGCGGAGCGCACAGGCGCGAAGGTTGGTTGTGAATGAGAGCAGACAGCTGCACGCGCAGAGCCCAGGCGCTCACGGGCAGTGGTGTGGGTGGGGGCAGAGGGGGTGTACTGGCTTTGGCTCTCTCGCTCCAGGCCCCCGCTTAGCGGCCCCTTTTTGTCTCTGCTCTCTGGCCATTTCGGTTTTCCAGTCCGATGCCCCTGAGGGGGAGGGTCAGGCCCCTTGGAAAATCCGTTTTCATGGCAACACCGAGCCTCTCCAAGTGAAAGAAAAGTTTCTTGGAGGGGTGGGAGGGGGGGGGACGGTGGCCGGAGAGGAGCCGAGGCGGTCCTCGAGCGGACCACAGGGCCCCTCCACTGGCCGCGCACCTGCCAGGACCACTGAGTGCGGCTGTCGCCGCGCAGCCGCGCCACCTCCCCGGGAAGTGGACTCTGCTAACGGATTCCATCCTTCTCCTTTTTTGTCTTACAGCCTTCCTGACCGGAACTACCAGACTCGGAGCGGGACACTCACCCGTTTGTGGGGTTGTCTGCCAAAAAGTATTGGCCCGGAAACCCGGCTGCAGGGAGAGGGGACCCCAACAATCGCCTTTGCCAACCCAAGCGAGTGGCAAGCGTTTGAAACTCCCGGAGCAGCCCCAGGCGATGGGTGGGAAGGAGAAACCAGCTGGGCAGAAGTGGCAGAGACTGAAATAAGGTGTCCCTGCATGTGGGCGCCCCTCCCCCGCCCCAGCCTGTGGAAAGGTGGGGAACTAAAAAGAAAGACTTAAATCCAAAGTGTGAAACAGAAACAACAACCCAGGCTTTTAGTGTCTTCGCGCTAATGCAAGACCAGGCGATCCTCCACCGCCTGCCTGCACGCCGCTGGGAACTTCCCCCTTTTCTGCATGAATTGCAGGCCAGCCCCCTCTGGGGTTGGCAGACCGCTGGCACCAGAATCCTGGCTCCCACCCGGCATTATCTCCTGGAAGCTTGGGTCTCAAAACTTGCCCCTTAAGTTTGGGTTCCATCTGGTCCAGGTCTTCTTGTTCATCAGGACGGAAGGAAGCAAACGTCCACAGCCAAGGGCTGCGATCATTTGAATGGGTGTACGGGTATGAGGTTTTAAAGTAAACTGTCTGGAATAGTTCTGTGTGTGGGTTTTATTTGTGTGTGTGTGTGTGTGTGTGTGTGTGTGTGTGTGTGTGTCCGCGCCGGCGTTTGTGTGCAGTCACGCAAGCACGTGCACGGGTGTGCACACTTAAGCTGACACGGAGTGGACGGCGTCTCAGAAAACGGAATGATTCCGCAATCCCCACCTGCACCTGTTTTCTGACAGTCAAGATTTCCTAGACAAACCCACTTGTCTTGCCCTCTTGCCGCCTTTTTCAGATGCCCTCTTGGGTTCTCTGGGCCTCCGAGGCTGTTGCTAAGTGAAGCGCGTTTTAGGAAACCACCCAACCGACGCGCGGCCTGGCGTCCAGTAGCCTGACAGATGTCAGGATTTTTTCCAAGTTTGAGGACCTCGTTGTGGCGACAGCGCCTGGGCTGCATATTTCCCTGGGCAAGGGATGCGGTATTGGGACCCAACTCCTCTCGGCAGCAGATTATCTGGGATCTAGTCACTGCCACCAGCCATTTGTCACTTGATCGCGCTTTGCCCAAGGCTTAGGTGAGCTCATTTGCACACTACATACCTTCTGCCAGATTCATGGCAGTCTTTTGCCAGGTCCGACACCCTCTCCCACATTCCTGGCTTCCTTCGGAGGCCGTAAAAAAACCTGTCTGTGCCTGGAGGCTCTGGAATGGTCTGCACAGCCCCAAGTAAGAGTCAAGCCGAATTTCCTTCGAAACATTTCCCAGGAAACATCCTCAACCCAAACTAGCATTTCAATAGCCAAGCAAGGTTACCGTTGCGGAGCGTGGGGAGTTGAGGGAAGGCTGGAAGGAAACCGTGCTCTTGGCCCACCAGCATTGCAGCCCAGAAGCCGGACCTTCGCTGGGGGTCAGGAGAAGTGTCGGTTCAAGCAGAGGCTGCGGGGAGGCAAGGGGACCTACGGAGCACCAACTAGTGTCTCTGACATGCACCCTGCACCCAGCGAAGAAAGCAGAGGGACACTGCGGGATCCAGGACCAGTCTTTTCCAACCTTTCCTGGAGAGCCTGATCCGCAGCTCTCTTGCTCTTCGGGACCTCCGGGAGCCAGTGGGCAGCATAGAGTCCTGGGCGCCAGGTTGGGAACTCAGCCAAGAGCCCCTTCTGATCCCTCCCTCCTCGCCCCCTCCCCGCACCCCCCCCCCTTCAGCCCCAGAGAGCGCAGGCTCCCTCCAACAGGGGCCGGCCCTGGGGTTTCCAGGACCCAGGGCGCAGCAACAGCGCCGTTTGTTGGCTTCTGTTGGAAACTTCACCCAGAGGTGCCCCTTCCAGCACTCGGGACTTGGAGATCGCCACGCTCCATAGAGAGGTAGTTGGCTTTGCCCCAGGACGTAAATGCTCATCCTTAGAGGGAAGGATATCGCAAAACTCGGGGGGCTGAGGTTCTAGAGTGGTTGGCCCCACGGGCTCCGGGCCCCATTCTGCCTTCCTCCAGTTTCAAGCCTTGGCAGAAATCAGGTGTCCCAAGGGCTTCCTATGTGCATAGCACACTTTCAGCAGCTGTGCCTCATAGCTACTGGTAGAGAGCAGAGCAGGAAAGTGGTTGTCCTACCACTGGCGCGGAGGTGCCCGCGGTTGATTCTTTCTCAGCAACTGCTCATGGGGGACCTTTCTCAGATTCTCCTGCTGGATTATGTCCCAAACTCTTAGAGGAGATGCCTTTTGCGTGCTGAGTGGAATAGGGTGGACGTGTGTTGCTGCCCGCTGAGATCTGACCTTAGGGTGGAGAGATCGCCTTTTCAAGTGCATCCGAACCCAGCGAGAGATCTGGATTAGAGTAATTGCGAAAAACTTACCCTGGAGACTTTCTGAAATGCTTTGCTTTACAGCAGAGAAAAAAAATCTTTTTTTTTTCTTATCCAAAGGCAGTAATTCCTATTTCTTCCTTGAGAACATCCTTGGACTATTTACTCTGGCTCCTAGCCAAGATTGTGTATTTAGGACAGAGATTGAAGGCCTTGATCAAGAAATCAGAGGTGGAGGTTTGTTGCAGAACCAACCATCTCTTGTAAGAGGTCAGAAAGGTCACCAACACTTTAACAGGGTGAAGTAGACAGCTCCTTCTAGTTCTCAGAGCATTCAGTTTGCTCTCCCTCCCTCAACACAAAGCAACACCCTCCTCCCCCACCCCACCCTCAATGAAACTCATTACAGGTTTGGGAAGGAGCTGAAGACCCTAGGCTGGCTGGTGCTGGTTAGAAATGTTACTAGGAGCTATGGAAGTGTGTGATGACATGGTCCTTGAGGCACCAAAAAGTCTCTTTTGGGAAGTGCAACTGTATTCTGTTGCATTTTTGTTGTAGCTCTTTTTGGGAGGAAGGGAGCACTTTTACAAGTGAATTTCCCAATTTGATTCACTTGGTTAGGTGATCTGTCCCTGGTAGATAACTGGGAATCCCCGTGGCCCACACCTTGGAGCTTAGTTGCTAAGATTCCTTTCACCAACAGGGTATTAAGATATTCATAACCAGCTCTTGTTTTCCTAGGTGTGGAGCAACTATGAGGAAATTGACAATATTTGCCTTCAGCCTTCAGAGCCCTCTTGCCTTCCTCACAACCCAAACACAACCCAGGACACTGCCCCCTCCCCGGAGGAAGGAAGGCTCTACCGGGAACTGGGTCCCACTTCCAGGGGGTCTTCCGGGTCATGATCCTCGACTTCTTTGTCTCTCTCTCCTCCCCAACACCCCCCTAACTCTCCAAGTTGACAAACAGCTCACCTCTGGGGAACATCCTCCCCTGGAATTCGGCACCCTACCGCTAGGCCTGTCTTTCCACTTGGGACCGTAGCCTTTTCCTCTTCTTACTGTGGCTGCAAAAACATAACCCTCAACAGCGTCAAAGTGGCTTGCCAGAAGCCCTGGCCAGGAAAATCATCTAAAAATCGTTATCGTATGTAATGTTGTTTGAATTATTTCATGTCCTCACAATTCAGACAGCGGGAGCGTAGGCGGGGGGGGGGGGGGGGGGGGGGGGCTTTGGGGGGGGGGTTTTTTGAAAGGAAAAAAAGGCCCCCCGCGGTCAAAAAAGCCCCCCCCCCCCCCCCGGGGGGAGATATTTTGAAAAAAAGGGGGCCCCCGGGGCCCCCC